GTGTACTGCTGTTTCATGAGAAACTATCTGTTCTGTAAGCCTTCACCTGAAGTACAATAAAATATAAAATAAATAAATAAATAAAAATGTTTTCTGCCCTTTTCTCTCCTTCTGGGTTTTCTATTACACATATATTGGTGTGTTTGATGGTGTCCCACAGTCTAAGGCTCTTTTCATTTATATTTATTCTTTTAATTTTCTAATCTTTAGATGAATTTCTATTGAGATATCTTCAAGTTTGCTGATTCTTCCATCTTCCATTTCTAATCTCTTGCTGAGACCCCTAGTTAATTTTTCATTTCAGTTATTGTACTTTTCAATTCCAGAATTTTTACTTGTTTTATTTTTTGTAAGGTTTATATATTAGTATTCCATCTTTGGTGAGTTATTATGATCACACTTTCATTTAATTCTGTAAACATGGTTTTCTTTTGTAATTGAGCATATTTATAATAGTTGTGCTGGAGTCATTGCATGCTGAGGCCAACATCTGCCCTCCCCCAAGACAATTTCCATTGACTACTGTTTTTTCTTACTCTAACAATTCCTGCTTCTTTGCACTCTTCAAAATTTTTTGTTTAAAGCTACACATTGCAGAAAATACACTATAGTAACTTGGAATTCTAATTCTCCCCTGGGAGAACCCAGATAAATTTCTTGTTAGTCTGCCAGTGCTGAATGCTCCAACCAGTATCTCAGCCTCAGGCTTGTGGTAACATTAGTCACTGATGTTGCTACTATTTGAGAAAAATGCCCCAAGGCATTGGGTTTTTCTGTGTTCCGTTCCAAATTAAGTCAGTCTCCTCCATCAGAAAAGCTGCTGATTTTCACAGCCTACTCTTCCTTCTAGTATTACGGTGATGATGGAGCTGGTGAGGGAACGAGAATATCTCCAGGCTAATGCACCACAGACTCCCACTTTTTTTACTTAAGGTTTAGTAGCTTTTTCCTTGAATAAATGTGTCTCACTTGTATGCCTTTCTTTGATTTCCAGAGTACTGAAAGAACCCTGTGGTGTTGGATTGCAATTAGAGACATTCACATGCATATACACAAGTGCATAAACATAGAAATATTTAAGTGGGCATCTTGGTTTTTGAATACCATTCTCCAATAGAAAGACCTAGGACTCCTTGCAAAAGGAGGGTACAACAGGAGCGTGATACAGCTTGTGGTGCTAAACGTTAAAGATGTGCTCAAGTAATGATGGAGGCACTTCCGAAAGGCATAGGACCAACCTGAAGGAGCTCCCAGTGTCCAACTGTGGAGCAAATTAAGGAAAAAACTAAAAAATCATAACCCGTAGAATAAAATAAATATCTATGATTCCATACTTGTATAAATAGAAAGTTGAATAACTTAAAGGGGCAATGGAACAACTCTTTCTTACAATAGTATCCCAATTAATACAGGTAAAAAGGAAGTGATGAAAACAGAATGTCCTTTTTGACAAAAATCACATTAAATGCATGCAAGAGTCATCAATGGATACTAAAATTAAAGGGCAAAAGTTTGCTGAGAAATTATTTGAGAAATGGGATTTATGTCTCTTCCCATAAATTAGTTCTTAATAACAAAGGGAAAAATAAAGTTAGAACTGTTGTTCGTGGCAGACATATACCTTTACCAAGTAAACAAATTGCCATCATATATAGACATCATGAGCCCGCTGATACAATGCACTGAAAAAGGCATAAAGTCATTTCTATGATTTTTTTTGCCAAAAATGTATAACCTCAATATAATCATCATACCCAAATTGAGAGATACTTTACAAAATAACTGGCCAATACACTTCAAAAGCATCAAGGTCATATGTAGCCAGCCTCCAAGATATCCCCCAATGATCCTCCCCTTCTGGTAGTCCCATGTTTTTGTAGTTCCCTCTCATATTGTACCAGGTGTGGTAAGCAGAATTATAGATACCTGCCCCCACCCAAGATTTGCATGCCCTTGTGTATTTAAAAAGGAGCCCTGGTGGCACAGTGGTTAAAGCACTCAACTGTTAACCAAAATGTCAGCAGTTCGAACTCACCGGCGACTCCATGGAGAAAGATGTGGCAATCTGCTTCTGTAAAGATTTACAGCCTTGGAAACCCTATAGGGCAGTTCCACTTTGTCCTATAGGGTTGCTGGTGGGGGCAGGGGGGGGGTGTGTATTCAAAACTAATATAGATACTGTGGTGAAAAGACTTTGCAGACATAATTAAGGTTACTAGGGTTGTCTGTGTAATCAACAGAATGTGACAGAAGGAATGGTATGCTGCTTCTAGGATTAGTTTTTGGCTTGGTTCTCTCACTCTCTCTTGGATCATTCACTCTGGGGGAAGCCATTTGCCATGTCATGATGCCCTATGGAAAGGCCCGCATACTAAGGAATGGAAACATCCTGCCAACAGTCATGTGCCTTCTTAGAAGCAGTTCCAGTCCCAGGCAAACTTTCAGATGATTATAGCCCCAGCTAACATCTTGACTGCAACCTCCTGAAACATCTTAAACCAGAACCATCCAGTTAAGTCACTCCTAAATTCTTGACCCATAGAAAAGGTGAGGCAATAAATGTTTGTTGTTTTAAGCAGCTAAGGTTTGGAGTGATATGATATGCAGTCATAGATAATAAGTACATCATGAAAGAAAATCTGAGGAACTATTTTAGATTAGAAGAGATTAAGGAGCCATGATAAATACATTTTTAATATAGAATCCTGCACTGAATCCTGAACCAGATAAGGAACATGAATGTGATGACTGACAAAATTAGAATAAGATCTCTATATTAACTAACAGTAATGCACCAGTGCTAACTTTAGGCGTTTAGATAATTGTTCTGTGGATATGTTAAATGTTAACATTAGACGAAGCAGGGTAAAACGGGAATTGTGTGTACTAACTATTTTTGCAACTCTATAAATCTTAAAATCATTACAAAATAAAGTTTAAAAAAGAAAGACAATATCAATCTAAGAATTAAAAAAATTAGGATATCGAACCTTACAGAAAGTTTTTATAAGCTGTATTAATTTTAACTAAAGCACTACAATACGTTTTAATCCAATTTACCCATTTGGTTTTTTAAAAACGGTTTATATCTCTTACTACTTATTTTTGATCACTCATGTGTAATGTATAAGTTCATGTTTATTGTATTTGGCGCCAATAAGTCCTAGTCTAAAATGATGGAGCCTGTATGTGTTGGGGTGAACAGAAAACAGCATTACACTTCAAATTAATATCCAGTCTGATTTCTTTAAAGATATTGTACTGAGTATTTTGATAAGGCAAGATGAACTAAATATATCTTTTCCAAAACACATTGCCTTTGCAAGGTGTCAGATATTTCACAATCAATCATCTGCAACATGTATTCTACTCATATCAATCTCATATATTAATCTGCTATGTGTGGTATCTATTGTATGAAAAAATTCTACTACTATACCGTTCATAAAGTGATTTATATTGAATTAAATACATTTACTGAGGTACTATAAATAACTGAATTTATTAAATCATGTTTGCCAGGTTTAAAAGTACACTGATTTTCCCTTTTCCATCCATAAAATTTACTGATATTTATAAGCAGATGAATAATATTTTAAAATCTTTGTCATTTAATAAGGTTAAACACTTAAAACAGTCTGGTTTAATAACAGGTATGTATATATATTTTGTATAATTGTTGACAATAAAGAAATCTTGAAAGACAATCGATATAAAATTTTATTTACATTTGCCTCAAATACACATAACTGAATCAATTATATACAATTCTTTCAATGTGTAAGTTTTTACATTTGTATTTCCTACAGATAAAGAACCTAAAATGTTAACAGTTTTCAGACCCACATCCAGCTATATACAAAAATCACAGTAGGTCGACTTATAAATTCAAGCTTTCTGAAAAATCAGTATAAATTTTAAAAAAATACATATTATGAAAAATTTTACTTCTAAAAGTCGCCTATCAACCAATATAATCTAGATAAGTCCAAAATGATAAACTATGATTACAAATTACAGTAGTGTCTGTATTGCCTTATTTATGAGAGGTATTCTTTGTAAATATGCATATTATAAAGGACAGAGTACAACTCCCTTTAAATGTCGGAATTATTTTCACTTGAATTACTTCCATTAAAAACTATATAAAAATGTGTCACCTTATAAGGTTGAGTATGTTGAGTAAAATGTAACTCTTGATAACTAAGAATTATAATGAATGCCAATTATTTAAGGCTTGTTTAGCAAACTATTTCTATATATGGGGTGATTTTTTTCCTTCTCTAAATTAAGTGGCCCTAGACTAATATAGAAAACCCTAGTGGCATAGTGGTTAAGAGCCACAGCTGCTAACCAAAAGATCGGCAGTTTGAATCCGCCAGGTGCTCCTTGGAAACCTTATGGGGCAGTTCTACTCTGTCCTATAGGGTTGTTATTAGTTGGAATAGACTTAATGGCAATGGGTTTAGTTGGGTTTTTTTGGTTTGCTTTTATAGTTATTGTTTCATCTCTTGCTGTCATTTCACATTTCTATCAGTGATCTCTATCAGATCTCAGGATTCATCATTATTCTACAGCCACAAAATTCTATTCAATTCTTTCTTTCCATGTATAGAACACAGAAAGCCTAAAACTCCTTTAGCTTTGCTGCAACAAGAAATAGCATATAAAATGTGTGTGGTGGGGTGGAAGGGAGATGGCTCCTGAACTGAGGTATCCTACGTTTGTTCCCCGGCCTATCTTGCACTGTCCCTTTGCTTGATATTAATTTTCTGCTTCCCAGCTACCTGGATTTTTGGCTCCCCACCATTTTGGCTTCGAACTTCTTTTGTATTCATACATTCTTGGTTTGAGGAGGCCTCTCTCTCTAATTCCTGGCCGACTTCTCTAATATTCAAGTGTGCCAGCTTGCACAACTCCTAACTTATTACTTATCCTTGAATTTCAGTTTAAAAGCACTATGAAGTTCTTGAATCCTTGTTGGTCACAGACTACCAAATATAATTTCTTAAATTCTGTGAATTTATAGTGCTTCTGATCCTGGTTTCCTACCAAGCCTTTACTCTCAGCTTGTGTTATCTACAATCACTGTATGTAACATACTGCTGATAGGAAAAAGCTGGTAATGAATCTTAGTTAAATTAGTAACTTCATTTTATGAAAATTTCAAATGCGATCATCTCTGGGTTTGAACTGAAACAGACTTCCACCCTTTTCATAATCAGTAAAATTCCTAACCATTACAGAAGTTACTTTTCTTGATGTTCACTAATCTATCCCCTACATCTTTAGAACAGATAAATTTAACATAAGTCTAACCTGAATAAATGTAGTGAAGTTATAAATGTTATCATGTATGTGAAAGACTTCGACTCTGAAATAAACACCGTTAAAGACTGGGATTTAATGCTTTAATCAAATGACAATTAGAGATGGGCCATGGTGGTGCAGTGGTTAAGTGTTTGGCTGCTAACCAAAAGCTAGGCAGTTCAAATCCACCCTGTGGGGCAGTTCAACGCCGTCCTATAGAATTGCTATGAGTTGAAATCGACTTAACGGCAATGGCTTTGGTTTTGGGGTTTTTACTATGTGAAAAGCACAATTCTAGGTGTTATAAGTAATGTGCTAGGTGAAAAGTTTTTAAAATTAGAAAAATTAAATTACTAAGTAAATAAAGGTTGATCAATAGTTTGTCAAGAAATTTTTTGATGTCTGATTGGCATTTTACTGAAGCTGATACTTTCCTCATGGAAGACATAATTGAGTGATGCTATCACAGAATCATAAAAGTTAAAGGTTAAGAATCAGCATATCAACAAAAAACCTCCTGGAATTCTTGCGTTAAAGTGAAAACAAGTGTATACATTGCTGATATTTCTGTATTCCCTATATACTGGAACACAAAGAAGACACATAACCCACATTCTAAGAGCTCATTAACTCGCTGTGATAAATAAAGGCCTAACTAGTTATAAATTTAAAAACAAATTATGTTATATAGCTAGTTTTAAATTCATGAGCTTTAATAGTATTTCCTGAACACCGTCACAGAAACTTGGTTAGTTTAAATTTTTATACTATAAATTTGCTAAATAAACCCAAAATATTATCAATAATAATTAAAATAAAATAAGCTGTAAGAGAGAGAGAGACATACACTGCCCTTTTAAAATGTAAACTTTTAACTAATCATTGGCTTTTTTCTAGTTTAGTTGGTTACTAGTTGGGGATTGCAGAGCTGGACAATGAAAAATCAGTGAATGTGTACGTGTGTGTTTGAGGCTTTTAGCGAGCTTTGAAGGCACATGTCTGCTTCTTACATTAAAACAAAAGAAAATAAAATCTATAAATATACAAGGAACATATTCAATTATAAAACATCGGTTTTTAAAATATGATTGTCCTTATTGAGTAGATAATGCTACAATGGCACTGTGCATTCTTACAAGTCAATTTTCCAGCTGTAAAGTATCCTCCTCTCCTTCTATTTCAGCCTCCATTTCATGCTTTGTTGCGATCACATTCTACTGAAACAGTAGTCACAACTCCTTTTGAAATGACACATCTGTGTCTGATGGAGGTGGTCTATACAAAACGACTGCAAGCCCATTGAAGAAAATGGTGATAAATTTACAAGTAACACCTAAATAGAAAAATAAAAATTAATAGGCAGTTAGTCCTTTGACTATTACAAAAATTAATTCTCATTGAGAAATTCTTCATGAATAGGAACTCACTATTTTAGGGGGAAGGAATACACAGACATAATCTGTTTTAAAATTTTAAAACATCAGGGATTAAGGTAATATTTGTCAGTATATTCAAAAAATATTTAATGAACTGGTATTTACTTGCTTTCTAAATAATAAAAACATATAATAATTATTCCATTTTTTTATTATGATTGTGTAGTTTTATAAAATAAGTGTGTATAAAAAACCAGTTGCTGGTTAAGTTGACTCTGACTCATGCGGTCCCCTGAGCATCAAAGTAGATCTCTGCTCCACAGGGTTTCCAATGGCTGATTTTTCAGGAAATCAACAGGCCTTTCTTCCAAGGAGCTTCTGGCTGGACTCAAACCTCCAACCTTTCAGTTAGTAGCCAAGCATGTTGTATAGGATTAAATAAATCCATGTTCCATTTCTAAGTTTATTAACACATTAGCATATTTATAAATACTTACAAGCAACCATAAGTTAACGATAAAGAAAAATAGCTTATACCATGCTTGAACCTGAATAATAAGTTGAAGAATTTTCATGTACAATGGAAAATATTTCTAAAAATTAAAAAAGCTTTGTAATTCTTGGGGGAAAGCCTCTATGAGACATAGCATATTCAATACTCAACCAAACTTGCTTTTGATCAACTAAAAATATAAAACATTAAGGTTCACTTCAAAAGATTTTATTTGCTTTCAAAGAACTTCAGAGTTTGAGCTTGGCGGTATTAAGAGAAATTAGTTCTAGCCACTGTTTAAGTATTCTTAAGTGCCAGTCAAATAAAGTAGTTGACTCTTTTTGTTAATTAATAATATTTTATTTAACAATGTGTATTTGTAACACAAGAATGCTCATTTATCTAAACACTACTAGACTTAAGAAGGTTAATTACATAGGTCCTACTATCATGACTTTTTTTCTGAAAAGTTGAAAAGTGTATGTGTTTTATGCGGAAAAAAATTCTCAAATATCACTGAGTAGGAAAAGGAGAAACTCATTGCTCGTATCTTTTTGTCAAAAGGTAAAAACAATCAATTCAAAAAAATTTAAACATAAAAACATGAATAAAAATGGTTTTAAACAGTTAAAAGTAGTGGAGAAACTAATTGTGTCTAATCTAGTCAATACTTACTTACTCTCCCATCGTTTCTTTGGATTTACGTGTTTATTTTTCAGCGGATGTTTCATTACTTTGTCATTACAAATTCAGACAGCATACTCTGGGTTTAAATACATGTAACAATAATATGCTTATCTTGAGACATTTGCTAAAATCATTGCAATGAAAATTGCACCTTATTTGCATACATATGTAGCACAATATAAACATTTCCTTTCTATTCAGGATTTCTCATTTGTTAAATATTCTAATTCCTTTTTTTTTTTAATTTCCAATTTCATCTTGCAAGTACTTGCTCAACTGCTAACCTAAAGATTGACAGTTAGAATCCACTCAGCAGTACTGCGAAAGAATAGGCCTGGTGATCTGCTTCCCTTAAGACGGCAGCCAGAAAAACCCTATGGAGCAGTTCTATTCTGACACACACGAGGTCTCCATGAGTTGGAATTGACTTCACAGCAACCAACAACAATAGCACAGACTAGATGCATTGCTCTACCACCTTAATTTTAACTTTCATTTGTTGTTTAACCAAGGCTGTATACAGACTACCAATGGCAGAAAAGATTAAATATCATGGCTAACTTTTAAATTATAAAAAAGTTTCCTACGACTGACCTGCCTTAGAGCCAAAGGATAAGTCTCTACCTCAGCTCTATGTGCTTTCCAAAGTCCAGATACCTAGATGACAAACATTCTAGAGTTTGTCAGAATTCTCTTTTAGTTTTTTGGTGTAACTTCTAAAAAATTTTGAGGGAAATTATGTACAATTTAATTTGCCTCTATTTCAAGACAGCTTTACAAATACCATTCAAAGCCACTCACAACAGCTGAGCTCTGCTGCAGGATTATAGGATGGCCCTGATGTGGACTGACATAACGTAACAACTATGGCCTAAGTAATAATAACTTGCTTTTTCTTGACATCATCAATTAACTCTAGAGTTATCAAGAAGTTACCACTTACTTATTGCCACTAGCATATGGGCCATCTTGATGTTATTATAAACCCAGCAAGCTCCTTTAACTCCACATTCGTTAATATCCCAGAGAACACATGTGCTGTCAATTGTTATACCAAATACAATTGGCCCAGGTATTGTGCCTAGAAGAATAACATGTGAAATGCACGAGTAAAGATTACAGTTTATAATTAGTGATTTTTATATACATGGCTATACATATACTTTTATATAAAGAAAAAAACAGATGTGAATCTTTCCATATGCAAATTAATCAATTCATGAACAAGTCAAAGCAATATACAGAAACAGAGAAAACACTAAAATAAGTCTATGTAATTATATATTACTAATCGATTCAGCAATTATTTCAATAAAAATTTCTAGGATATATTGTGCTAACATTTAGTTAAGTAAATATTTTTAATTCACTGATTTTCTACTTTAATGGACGTGTCTTTGAAATTATCCCTCATATTTTTAAAAATCAAAATAAATTATTCCTGATGCACAAATAAGTCTGCTGAACTACAGTATATGTGTTATGTGTATGTATGTGTATGTGTGTATATACGGGTGTGTACATGAGAAGGTATATGTGTGTACACACACACGTACTAACATGACTAGGAGTACTACTGTCTCATACACATCTCCCTCGATGAGGCCAGGAGACACTAAACAACCACACAGTGAAGGAGTGTCCAATTTTTACAAATCAAATACATGATTTGAGGTGTTATTTCTTAGTCAAAGATTTCAGCTACATTCAGTCTATTCTTTCATTACCTGTAGCATGATAGATTACAGAAGTTCTAGACTGAGAGTTCTTTTTCCTAGTCTCATTTTCACTACTAATTGTGTCACTATGGGCAAATCCTTGCACCTCTCAGATCTTTAATGTACTCATCTGAATAATAAGAAAGGTGATTTCTAATGTTCCTTACGGCTTTTTGTTTTTAAGAAATGAACTTAATATTACATTTATTATGTTTCTCTCTTTTTTCTTATTCTTCCTATATATGGAACCTTTTAAATTGTTTCTTCCATCAATGCTTAACCAGCCACAATATGTACATCACAGTTTCGATTAAAACATTTTAACTCATTCTTCATTGCTAATGCAACATAATAGTATCACAAATAGAAAAAAAAGCAGAAAAGAAAGGAATTATGGCAACAATAAATAAGACTTTATCATAATTGATATTGTTAACAGATTTTATTTGAATACATAAAAATATGTAGTCTTTTACTATGCTCTATTAGAAATGTGTTGATGATAATACTTTAGATCGCAAATAAATACAATACACCCTCTAAGGTTATATTTGCAAGAGTAGAAACAACATTTAACCACTCAAGCAGGTGGAAAGTGAAGTCATTATTTTCTTATATGTTATGTAAATAATACTACATCATAAACATTGGAAAACAGTTTTCCTCAATAACAACTATGTAGCTTTCCACATATTTAAATTAAATATTTTTCTTGGCACATATCAAAAAAATGAATGAATCAATAAAATTAATGAATCAATAGTCAACAGCCACCAGTGAACTATGAAAAACAGCATACCCAGTAATCGGAGAAACATAAACTGTATTCCCAAAGCTAGAGACCGTTGCTTGTTATTAACACACCTGGAAATATTAAATATATATTAGACCAAAGATGATTGTATAGTATATTCACTTTTTGAGCAAGCTCATTTTTTATGCCAGCTTAGCATCTCTACATTAAATAAATGTGGTACACATGAAGTAAATTATTTGTAAGTGCTTACATACAGTTCAGTCCTTTTAGAATTATAAAAGAAAAGATACACTATCTGAGCTAAAATATTGTTAACAACAAGAAAAACTCATTCACCCCTATGAATTTTAATAAATGTAAAGGAAAAGGGCCATTCATTAACAAGACTTACTTTTGGCTGTCACTATTAGCTTAAGTTTCAGGCAAATAACTCACTCTAATTTGTACTAACTTAGAGACAGAAATAATAGGGCACAAATTTGAAGCAATGTAAAATGGTTGCTGAAATTCAATAGGACTCTATAAGAATCCTTTAAATAATTACTGTGGGCCAGTCAAAGACGAATGAGGTACAATGTCATCACATAAAAGAGAAAGATGTGAGAAAAAAGTAACTAACCAGTCTTTAAAAAAAAAAGGGTAAAAAGTTGAAAGGTGACTTAAATGATTTTTCAAAAATGAACTTCCAAAAGCATTTTCTTTGGTTTCTAAGTACCTCTGCCAATTTCCAAGTAGTGTAATGACAAACTGTTTAATATTTTTTGACAGAATCCCTAAACTTTCCATTTGTCAAAAAATATGTGAAAAGATAGAAAGTAGATATTAAGGAACAAAAGATTGAAAATATACAGAATGGTTAGAGAAGACAGAATGGCTAATTAGCCTACAGAGGGGCAAATAGGAAATATTTTCCTAAAGTGATACAGAAGGGTCTACCGAGGAAGAGCAACTCGTCACCAAAAAGCACAAAATACCTGTGACAGTTAACAGCCAGTTTCTTACCTGTTAGCCCAGTTTACAGAAAGGTTTTACCATCACAGCACCTCATGTATAAGCTAGAAAACATGTCATTCTGATTCTGGTAGATATGGGCATGATGATTAATTTTACGTGTCCAATATGGTTCCCAGTGGTGTGGCCAAATACTAGACTAGTTGCTGTTCCATAATGTAATGTAACGTAATGTAATGTAATCACATTCCAAAATGTAAATCTAACGTAATGTAATTAAGTCAATCAGTTGAAAAGGGAGTTTCTTTAGGGTGTGTTCTGCCTTCAGACTATAAGTAGATGTTTTCACAGAACTCACTCTCACTCTACACTTTGCACACTTTCTGTCACCTGATCTACAGATATTGGGTCATAAACCTGCAGGAGTCTCTACCTTACCACCTGACCTATGGATTTTGGACTTGCTAGCCCACAATCCTATAGGCTAATCCTGTGAAGTAAATCAGTCTCTCTCTCTAGATATAAACTTGTAGATATGTAGGGATAAAAATACATCTCACTGGTTCTGCTTCTCTAGAGAACCCAAAGACATTAAGACCTTTTGGTACCAGGCGTGTGAGTATTTCAGTCATCTTCAAATACAGTTGAATATATCTCCAGTTTACAACTGAAGCCTCATTAAAAAAAGCAGGGAAACTGACATCAAATAAGTGGTAGGTAGGCAATGTTCAGACACTTTCACGTACATGATCTCATTTAAACCTCATACATCTGGGCCTCAATAAGGTAGCTTATTGAATGCCACAGAACTAACAATCTTGTAAGGGCTGCTTTGGAATTGGAACCAATGGTCAATACAAACCCCAAACAAATTCTGATTTCATTTTCTCTTCACTCCACATGTTGCCATAAGGATTGCAAATTTTTCAATATAATACATACCTAAGGATGGACACAGTTATGGGAGTACCAGCCATAAAGGTAAAAATAAGAGTAACAAAGAAAATGCCAAGGAATATGGGCAAGTTTGCACACTGAGTTTCACATTTGCCAGGTTTAGCTTCAAAATAAAAACTTTCTGCAGATGTTATCTCTATAGTCCCTTCAATACAGGAACAGTTGTAATAGACCTAGAAATATCAGACATAAAAATACTGAAAATGTATACTTTGAGATATATGTTATAAATGATCATTTTAATATCTATAGACTAAAAAACCAAACCAAACCCATTGCTGTCGAGTCGATTCCAACCCATAGCAACCCTATATAAACTATGTAATATAAAAGAAGTTCATTGTTTCTCAGATTCTGTTTTCCCTGCAGTAGGAATATAAACTTTAAATGTATTCACTACACTTAAAATTATTAAGTATATATATATATGTGCATGTGTGTGTGTGTGTCTGTGTGTGTATAAAACCAAAACCAAAACCCAAACCTGTTGTCTTCGAGTCAATTCCGTATACACACTCACATGTATGTACACACTCGTGTGCTTAGTTTTATAGAAATATTTTCTTGCAATCGTTCTTGCAATCTATATTTAAGTATACTTATTTTGGTAATCTTCAATGTCCTTCTGTATAAGAAAAGGAATTCTATTTCATTTTGCCATACTTCAAATATTCAAGATGGTGATACTTTGTCATATAATTCTTAACATATCTTATTCATTGTGATCTCTTATAGTATATACTTCTCTCATGTCTCTTAAAGTTAAAAAATTATCTGCTAATGTGTAAAACATTATGTATTACTACTAATCTGACTATTATTTGTCCTCAAGACTTTTAAATTCAAAGATGTCACTTTGAGGCCTAAGGTGCACCTGACCCAAGCCATGGTATTTTTCTTTATTTTGATAAGTAGGTTTGTTAACTTTCTTTGTGGTTACCTTGAAATTTACCCTTATCTTCCTAGGTTTGAACCAATCTATTATTACTTGGTATCGCCTTGCCTTCCTCTCCATTACAAAGTTCTATATCTATACCATTTATTCCCTTTTTTATTGTTCTGATGTTGTTGTCATTTGCAGATTAACCTCTCTGGTTTCCTGTTCCAAATCTTTTGGTTTTGAATAGTCCCTGAGAGTTCATTTCCTAGGTTGGTATCTGGCTGGTATGATCCTGCCTCCTAGATTCAGGCTGTGGTCTGATGTTGTTTTTTCTCAAACTGAAGGACTCCTTTTAATAATTCTTATAAGTTTGGTTTGATATTTACGTATTCCCTTAATTTCTGTTTATCTGGAAATGTCCTAATTTCAACATCATATTTGAACAAGAGTTTTGCAGGATATATTATTCTTGGCTGGAAATTTTTTTCTTTCAGGGCTTTAGATACATCATCCCGTTGCCTTCTTGCCTACATGGTTTCTGCTGAGTAATCAGTGCTTACTCTTATTGTTTCCCCCTCTGTATGTGACTCTTGTTTTTCTTGAGCTGCTCTCAGGATTCTTTGTCTTTGATTTTAGGGAGTGTGATTATGATATGCCTTGGTGATTTTCTTTTAGATCTAACCTATATGGGGTTCATTGAGCTTCTTGAATGGTCAGCTTTTTATCTTTCATGATATTGGGGAAATTTTCTGTCAGCAGTTCTTCAACGATCCTCTCTGTGTTTTCCATTTTCTCCCCCTGTTCCGGAACTCTGATCACTTGCAAATTTTTGCTTTTGATTATATCCCATATTATTCTCAAGGTTTCTTCATTTTTCTTCGTTTTTTTCTTTTTTCTGATTTTTCCTCAGAGGTATAGCCAAATGTTTGTCTTCAATTTTACTGATCTTGTCTTCTATTGTTTCAAACCTGCTCTTCAGCCCTTTTATGACAGTGTCCATTTCCAAAATCATGTTGTTTATCTTTTGGATTTCTAACTGTTGTTTTTGTATGATTTTTAGTTGTGAATTTATTTTGGCATTTTGTTCCTGTATTGTTTTACTGAATTCTTCCACTGTTTTGTCTGTATTTTCCATTAATTTGTCTTCCTTTACCATGAATTTGTCTATTTTTTCCTCATTTTTGTCTGCTTTTTACTTCAACTCTTGGATAGCTCTGGATATTAGAGATTTGAATTCCCTATCAGGTAGTTCTAGTGCCTTTTCTTCTACTGGAAAGTCATCTAGTGTTTCATTTTGGATGCCTACCAGAACCATCCTATCCTGTTTTTTATATGTTTTGATATTGTCTGCTGTCTTCAGGACATTCAGTAGTTATTTTCTTAATTTATTGATTGTAGATTTGTTTGTTTCATCCCACTTTTTTGTTTTATTTGCTTACATCTGAGCAGGCGGGCTGTGCATTCTTTGTTTTTTGCTCATCTGTGGACACGATATTTTTCACCTCCTTGCCTAATGGGCAGGGCTAGTTTCTCAGCTATGGTGCAGCAGGTAAGGTCCAGCTGACGGGGAAGGGATGGGATGAGTTTTTTTTGCATGTACTGGGGCTGACAAGATGAGCCAGGTGTCAGTACAGGGCAGGTTCCGGTAGGCTGTGCCTGTGCTGCTCGGGAGTGCAATGTTCAGCACATGGTGCAGATAGGCAGGAGGGAGGGGGAGGGGAGATCGTAACGTATGGAGCTAGGATGGGTATGGGAAAGAAGAGAGGAGAGAGAAACAGGAGCCAAAAAAAGTGCTGAGGGAGACTGCTGTTGGAGTGGAGAGACAAGAAAACATGAAATGAAGAAAAACAAAAAGGAAAATTAAATAAATAATTTTTTTAAAAAATGCCCCAAGGATCCCATCAGTGCAGCTGCAAAGACCAGAGAACTAGCTCCCAAGATGCAAAGTACAGCCTAGCTAGAAGGGGTGGAGATGATACACAGTGCCAGGAATTCAGGAGACAGGAAAAGGAGGTAAGTACAAGGAGACAAGAAACCAAGAAATGAAGAAAAATAAAAAGGAAAAAAGAAAGAGAAAACAAGCAAAAAGAAAAAGAAGCTCCCAGGAGTCCTACCAGTGTGGCAGCACAGACCAGGGAAGTAGCTCCCCAGATGAGTGGCACTTCACAGCCTGTCAAGAAGAAGCAAAGATTGCACACGGAGTCAGGTGTTCAAGAGAAAGGAGGGGGAGGAGGTGAGAGGCAGGGAAGATACAAAAAGAGTCCAAAAAAAGTAACACCAGCAACAAAGAAATGGCAGTGAAGAAGAACCAGTGTCTCCCATGTCGCAGTAGCAGCCCACTGGGAAGCAGTGGATTGGCCCACCAGGAAGCATCAGATCAGCCCACTGGGAAGCTAGGAATCTGCCCACTGAGAAGCTGTGGATCGGCCCACTGGGAAGCCTTCGGTCAGCCAGCCAGGAAGCCACAGGGGAGGCAGAGCAGGGGGGTAGATGATGGGAAAGTGTGTCTTGCTGGTTACCAGGTGCTCTGTCTCCTGCTGGGAACTCTGTGAAGCTACTTTCCCATACTCCCTGTCTTCCAGTCCCTAACAGGAGTCCAAGAAGGTAGATCCATGCTGCATTACTGGTAACGGACCTCCGCTCGTAAATCTCCTTGCTCTCTGTTCTCTGTTAGTTTCTTATTCCATTCGGTGCTTGGTTGAGTTCTTTATCTCTTCATTTGATGCTTAGGGTTCCAAGATTGACATTTGTCTCTGTTTTACTTAGTTTTTCAGGTCTTTGCTGTGGAGGGACAGCGTGGTGCTTCTGTCTATAGCACCATGTTGTCTCCAACTCTCCAAGCCATGGTATTCTTAGTCACCTCATATGCATGTGAAAGCTGGGACAATGAATAAGGAAGACCAAAGAATTGATGCCTTTGAATTACAGTATTAGTGAAGAATATTGAATAGACCATGAACTGCCAGAATAAAGAACAAATCTGTCTTGGAAGAAGTACAGCCAGAATGTTCCTTAGAAGCGAAGATGACTAGACTTGGTGTCATGTACTTTGGACACGTCATCAGGAGGAACCAGTCCCTGGAGAAGGACATCATGCTTGCTAAAGTAGAGGGTCAGCGAAAAAGAGGAAGACCTTCAATGAGATGGATTGACACAGTGGCTGCAACAATGGGCTCAAGCATAACAAAGATAATGAGGATGGCACAGGACTGGGCAGTGTTTTGTACTACTGTACACAAGGTTGCTATGAGTCAGAACCAACTCGACCGCACATAACAACAACAATTAAAGATTAAATCTTTAAATTATAGATACAGTACAATAAAATTCTAACGGATTCTCTTGAACTGTTTAACTGTATAAAAAAGAAATAATATCTGAGTAAATTGATATGCATTTTAATGCAGAATTAAAAGTAAATTTCTATTTCAGAATAAATGAATGATTTGGACATTTAAAAATGTATGCATGGTATAGCACATATAATGAACAAATATTTATTAACTTTCTTTCATATACACAGTAGTAAATAAGAATAGCCATTCATTGCCTTCAAGGAGCTTAAAATACAGTTGAGGAAAAAGAAAACAATGTAAAAAGGTAAATATTTCAATACTACAACAGAAGTGATGTTACAAAGATGTATGTGAGTAACTGCCAAATGAATTGTTCAACAATAATTGCATCTGGGTTATGTGGGAGTCAGCTAGAGTGGTCAGAGGCTGTTTAATGGAGGAGGTGGGGCAGAAGGAAAGAATAGACACTGCGTAACTCCACCAGAGAGATCAAGAAGGTCACCCATCACAATACGTGATCACATTGCCTCCCTACGTGTAGGTAAAGTCACCTTACCTTTGGCTGTCTTTCTGAAACAGAATTTGTACAACCTGCAAAGCAGGGAGAAAAATATTGAACTCTATCTTCTCCACAGACAGGATAATAATATGATCGCAAACAGTTACAATTGGCGTTACAAGGAGCTGTCAAATTTCTCAGCTCTCCTGTCCTGTAAATAAATAAGAGAAAATTAATACATTGTAACTTTTAAAGAACAGTTCAGAAGCACTGTTATATCTTGCCATTAATTCATTAATTCATTCACTCAACACATACTTAATTACTGAATGAAAAAACAAACAAAAAATTTCTGCCTTCAACTTAGAGCTTAACTTCTTATGGGGGAAAGAAGCTGTAAAAACAATATTTACTTAGTATAATGTTTGTCATAAGAAAGGCAGAGTAAGAGAATAAATCAGAGTTTCTCATTTAGACCAGATAATTCTTTATTGTGTGGGGCTAGTCCTATGGATTGTATGATTAGGTTAGAATTATCCCTGGCCTCTACTCACTAGATGCCAGTAGCACCTGCCTCAGATGTGACAAATGAAAATATCTCCAGATTGCAAAATTTCCTGGGCAGTGAGTGAAACCAAACCCGAACCAAACCTGTTGCTGTCGAGTCAATTCCAACTCATACTGACCCTATAGCACAGGTTAGAACTGCCCTCATAGGGTTTCCAAGGAGCAGCTGGTGGATTTGAACTGCCGACCTTTTGGCTAGCAGCCAAGCTCTTAACCACTGTGCCACCAGGGCTCTGGGGAGTGAGGGAATGTGAAGCAAATCTGGCCTATTTGAGAACCGTGGGAATAGAGAATGGAGGGAAATGGGGGCTCTTTTAGTTGTAGTAGTCAGGGCTGGTACCTGTAAGGATGGGTACTTGAGCAGACATGCAAATCTCACTATCATAAGATTAGAAAATGAAATCCTTGCCTAAAAACCTGTTTACATATATAATTTAAAAAATAAGTTTTCAAGTGATTTAACATTTCGTAAATGTGTTTCAGAAGAGTTCCATTGCAGCATGTTTAAAAGTTACAGAGATTTTTGTTCCCAACATAACTAAACACAGTGTATATGTCACCATAAAAGTGACATTCTCTATCACATTCTCTAACACCAGGTCCAATCATAATAATAATAATAATAAGGTAGTAATTGGGGGAAAAAAAGAGAGGGACATTGTTGTTGATATTTTGTTAGGTGTCGTCGAGTCAGTTCCGACTCACAACAACAGAGTGAAACACTGCCCAGTCCTGCACCATCCTCGCAATCGTTGCTATGCTTGAGCCCACTGTTACAGCCACTGTGTCAATCCATCTTGCTGAGTCTTCTTCTTTTTCACTGACCCTCACTCTACTATGCTTGATATCCTTCTCCAGGGAATTGTCCCTCCTGATAACATGGCCAAAGTACTTGAGACAAAGTCTTGCCATCCTCCCTTCTAAGGAGCATCCTGGCTGTACTTATTCCAAGACAAACTTGTTTGTTCTTCTGGCAGTCTATGGTATATTTTATATTATTCACAACGCCATAATTCAAAGGCATGAATTCTTCTTCAGGCTTCCTAATTCGTTGTCCAGCTTTCACATGCATATGAGGTGACTGAAAACACCATGGCTTGGGTCAGGTGCACCGAAGTCCTCAAAGTGACATCTTTGCTTTTTAACACTTTAAAGAGGTCTTTTGCAGCAGATTTGCCCAGTGCAATGCGTCTTTTGATTTCTCGACTGCTGATTCCATGGGCATTGATTGTGGATCCAAGTAAAATGAAATCTTTGACAACTTCAATCTTTTCTCCGTTTATCATGATGTTGCTTACTGCTGGTCCAATTATGAAGATTTTTGTTTTCTTTATGTTGAGGTGTAATCCATACTACAGGCTGTGTAGTCTTTGATCTTCATCGGTAAGCGCTTCAAGTCCTCTTCACTTTCAGCAAGCTAGGTTGTGTCACCTGCATTTCACAGGTTGTTAATCAGTGTTCCTCCAATCCTAATGCCATGTTCTTTTTCATATAGTCCAGTGTCTCAGATTATTTGCTCAGCATACAGGTTGAATTACTATAGGGAAAGGATACAACATTGATATACACCTTTCCTGATTTTAAACCACCCAATATTCCCTTGTTCTATTTGAACTGCCTCTTGGTCTATGTATAGTTTCCTCATAAGCACACTTAAGTGTCCTGGAATTCCCATTTTTCACAACGTTGTCCATAATTTGTTATCATCCATACAGTCAAATGCCTTTGCAATGTCAATAAAACACAGATAAACATTTTTCTGATATTCTCTGCTTTCAGCCAAGATCCATCTGACATCAGCAATGATACCCCTGGTTCCATGTCCTCTTCTGAATCTGGCTTGAATTTCTGGCAGTTCCCTGTCGATGTACTGCTACAATCATTTTTGAATTATCTTCAGCAAAATTTTACTTGCATGCGATATTAATGGTACTATTTGATAATTTCCTCATTCTGTTGTATCAACTTTCTTTGGAATGGGCACAAATATGGACTTCTTCCAGTCAGTTAGCCAGGCAGTTGTCTTCCAGTTTTCTTAGCATAGACAAGTGAGCACCTCCAGACCTGCACCCATTTGTTGAAACACCTCAGTTGATATTCTGTCAATTCCTGGAGGCTTGTTTTTCTCCAATGCCTTCAGTGCATCGTGGACTTCTTCCTTCACTACCATTGGTTCTTGATCATATGCTACCTCCTGAAATGGTTGACCATCCACTAATTCTTTTTGGTATAGTGACTCTGTATTCTTTCCATCTTCTTTTGATGGTTCCTGCGTTGTTCAATATTTTGCCCATAGAATCTTTCAATCTTGCAACTAGACGTTTGAATTCTTTCTTTGATTTTTTTCAGCTTGAGAAATGCCGAGTATGTTCTTCCCTTTTGGTTTTCTAACTCCATGTCTTTGCACATTTCATTATGAAACTTTACTTTGACTTCTCAATCACCCTTTGAAATCTTCTGTTCAGTTCTTTTACTTCATCATTTCTTCCATTCTCATTAGCTACACTATTGTCACAGATTGAATTGTGTCCCCCAAAAATATCTGTCAACTGGGCTGGGTCATGATTCCCAGTATTGTATGATTGTGTAATCTGATGTGATTTCCTTATGTGTTGTAAATTCTATCACTGTGATGAGGTTATACTGATGAGGTTTACAAGATTAGATAGTATCTTAATCCAATCTCTTTTGAGATATAAAAGAGAGAAGTGAGCAGAGACACATAGGAACTTCATACCACCAAGAAAGCAGTGCCGGTAGCAGAACGCGTTATTTGGACCTGAGGTTCCTGTGCAGAGAGACTCCCAGACCAAAGGAAGATTGATGACACGGACCTTCCCCCAGAGCCAACAGAGAAAGCATTCCCCCGGAGCTAACGCCCTGAATTTGGACTTCTGGCCTACTGGAATATGAGAGAATAAACTTCTCTTTGTCAAAGCCATCCACTTGTGGTATCTCTATTATAGCAGCACTAGATGACTAAGACAACTATGATCAACAGCAAGTTTTAGAGTCTCTTCTGACATCCATTTTGGTCTTTTCCTTCTTTTCTATCTTTTTAATGACCTTTTGTTTTCTTCATGTTTGACGTCCTTGATATCATTCCACAACTCATCTGGTCTTTGTTTATTAGTGTTCAATGCATCAAATCTATTCTTGAGACAATCTCCCAATTCAAATGGGATATACTCAAGGTTGTACTTTGGCTCATGGACTTGTTTTACTTTTCTTCAGCTTCACCCTGAACTGGCATATAAACAATTGATGGTCTGTTCCGCAGTTGGCCCCTGGTCTTTTTCTGACTGATAATATCTAGCTTTTCCATCGTCTCTTTCCACAGATGTACTCAGTTTGATTCCTATGTATTCCATCTGGTGAGGTCCACATGTATAGTTACCATTTATGTTGTTGAAAAAAGCTATTTGGAATGAATAAGTTGTCAGTCTTGCAAAATTCTATCATGTGATCTCTGGTGTCATTTCTGTCACCACATTTCTGGACATATTTTCCAACTACTGATCCTTCTTCTTTGTTTCCAGCTTTTGCATTCCAATCACCAGTAATTACCAAAGCATCCTGATTGCATGTTTCATCAATTTCAGACTGCAGAAGTTGGCAGAAATCTTCAATTTCTTCATCTTTGACATTAGTGGTTGGTGGATAAATTTAAATAATAGTTGTGTTAATTGTCTTCCTTGTAGGCATCCGGATATCATCCTATCACTGATGGCATTGTACTTCAGGATAGATCTTGAGATATTCTTTTTACTGATGAATGTGATGCCATCCTCTTCAATCTGTCATTCTTAACGAAGCATACCATATGATCGTCTGATTCAAAATGGCCAGTACCAGTCTATTTCAGCTCATTAATGTTGATCTTCAGGCATTCCTTCTCATTTTTTATGATTTCCAATTTTTCTTTGATTCATACTTTGTACGTTCCACTTTCCAATTACTAATGGATATTTGCAGCCGCTTCGTCTTATTTTAAGTTGTGCCACCTCAGCAAATGAAGGTCCTGAAAGCTTTACTCCATTCACATCATTAAGGTGGACACTACTTTGAGGAGGCAACTCTGCTCCAGTCATATTTTTAGTGCCTTCCAACCTGACAGGTTCATCTTCTGGCACTGTATCAGACAATGTTCTGCTGTTACTCATAAGGTTTTCACTGGCCAGTTTTTTCAGCAGTAGATTGCCAGGTCCTTCTTCCCAGTCTGTCTTAGTCTGGAAGCTCTGTTGAAACCTGTCCACCATGGGTGACCCTGCTAGCATTTGAAATACAGGAGACATAGCTTCCAGCATCACAGCAACATGCAAGCCACCACAGCACAACAAATTAACACGAGTGTGTGTGGGGCGGGAGGAGGGATAGAGATATATAAAAGACGGACAAGGACAGATAAAAGGCCAGAAAAATGTTAGAACAAAAAGAGGAAAGGATAAAAAAGTAATCAGAATAAGAAGAGAGAGAAGATATTCCCTTTCCTGAATGTGTAACTTTCTACAGGCCACTATTCCAACACTCGTTTTGTTTTTTAGGGAGTTTTTTGTTTTATTTTCTATTTTTGTTTTGCTTCTTTTTTTGTGTGTGCTTTAGGTGAAAGTTTATGGTGCAAATTAGTTTCTCATTCAAAAATGTATGCAAAAATATGGAATGCTTCTTTGTGCAGAGGCCATACTAATCTTCTCTGTATCATTCCAATTATAGTGTATGTGCTGCCAAAGCAAGCACACTTGTTCTGTTTTATGGCAATTATCTGTATATCCACCCCTGTAGGGAATCACTCACAGGCAGGTAAATGCAATCAGTGCAAGCCTTCTGCCTTCATCCTCACCCCTCTTCTATCCCACCTTATTCTGAACTCTTTTATTACACAAAGGATAAGAGTGAGGAGGAAAGACCTGCCTAGGAGTGGCAGAGTCAAAATAAACATGTCCCTCAAAACCATTGCCATTGTATCAATTCTGACTCATAGTGGCCGTGTAGGACAGAGTAGAACTGCCCCATAGAGTTTCCAAGGCTGTAATCTTTAGAGAAGCAGCCTACCATATCTTTTTCCCATGGAGTGGTTGGTGGGTTCAAATCACCAACCTTTTGTTAGCAGCTGAGTGCTTAACCACTGCACCAGCGGGCTCTTCATGTCCCTCAAAGTAGCCCCTATTTCAAGCCTAAGGCTGTGGAATCATCCTAAGGCTTTCTCACATCCTCTCCTTAAAGTGACAGCACAGCCAAAGGAGGCAGCTACAGAAACTGCCGTTTGTGTAACTCTCCACAGACCCATAAAAGTTAAAAGGTAGATTGATCAAGTGTATACTACTTACACAATTACAGTTAGGAGAGAACACAGAATAAAAGTCTTTCCTGCTAAAATGTACTAAAGTCTTATTTGAGCAGTGACCTTAGACCAAATCTAAGCTGCTTAACAACAAAAAAATGTAGTCTCAATAAGGTTTCTATCTGCAATCAACCCTCAATTATCCACAGCAACAATATACTACTACTATTACTACTACCTGTTGCTATTGAGCTGATTCTGACTCATAGTGACCCTATAGAACAGAGTAGAACTGCCCCATAGGGTTTTCAAGGAGTGCTCGGTGGGTTCAAACTGCCAACCTTTTGGTTAGCAGCCATAGCTCTTAACCACTACGCCACCAGGGTTTCCACAGCAACAATAGCTACCTGTAATGTGAAATTCTCCCAGGGATGTGAATCCAGTAAGCAAAGATTCTGTTGAGTCAAGCACTGAACCCTGTACATGATAGTTGCTCTATAATTTCTCTCGGAATAAATATCCCCACCTTTTATGAAGACATCAATTATGCAAACTGAAAAGCATACCTACACGTTCTTACACAGGAAAAGGCCTTCCAATAATATAAAAGGCCAATTCCTCAGCATTTTGTTTAAGAAAGTATATCTTTGGATATAGTCACATAGTTTTTCACTCTGGTATTAATATCAAAGAGTACTGACATATATTTACCCTTTATATGGTTCCAACACACCAGCAAACGGCCCATTTTCACATTTGGTGTAAACAAATACGAAACTCAGCACAAGTGCAACCACAGATGTGCACAATGAAAACTTCATTGTATTTTTACACGTCAATTTGAACTTTGAAACAATGACACCACCTAAAATCTGACCAAGAGCAGCTCCAGGAATTAAAACAGCCCCTAATGAGAAAGAAGACACAGACTGTGAGAAAACACACAAGTATACTCAGAAATTCAATTGGAAAACCTCAGAATAATTACCAATATGGTTTGAACATACTAAAGTACTCATCTGACTTAGGAATATATGCATAATAAATGACTTAATATTTTCATAAAGTAAAGGATTAATACACATTCTTTTTAGCAATATAACCTTTCTGTCAAGTTCATACTATATATTTTGGAATGTCTACAAATCAGAAAATTTTATCAAAATCAGTATAAAGTGTAAATTTCAAAGAGTGAACTATCCAAAATTACAGACTATGTAATAAATATCTAACGTGGTAAAGTAAAATCATTAGCCTAAGTTAGAAAAAAATAAAATGTTTTACCTCCAAGGGTAGCTGCAAAGCTGGAGGACAATCCAAACTGATTTTCTATGAATTTAGGTAAAAATGTAGCAAATCCAGTAGTAACTAAGGCTTCTGAACTAGTTGATAAAACTAAACACATAAAGACAGTATTCCTCATCAGGTTCTAAAGAAAAAATAAAGTTCACCAGATAAGTAACTATGTTTATACCACAAAATGCAGCATTACAATGGTAACATTATGAAATCTGTAAAATTTCAGCATTTCCTCCAGCTCAAAAATATAACAATGGATTATTAATAGATTTATACGTGCAATATTGAGAAAAACTATATGTGGATCACTTAGAGAATTTACACATTGTCATTGCCTTTGTCGATGTCGTTGTCGTCGTCGTGGTCGGGTGCCATCGAGCCGGCTCCGGCTCATAGCATCAACAGAACGTACAACAGAATGAAACACAGCTCGGTCCTGTGCCATCCTCACAATCGTTATTATGCTTGAGCCCATTGTTGGCAGCCACTGTGTCAATCCATCTCGTTAAGGGTCTTCCTCCTTTTCGCTGATTCTCTACTTTACCAAACATGATGTCCTTCTCCAGGGATTGGTCCCTCCTGATAACATGTCCAAATTAGTGAGACAAAGTCTCACCATCCTCACTTCTAAGGAGCATTCTGGCTGTACTTCTTCCAAGACATATTTGTTCTTTCTTTTGGTATCCACGGTGTATTTGCCAACACAATTCAAAGGAGTCAATTCTTCTTTGATTTTCTTTATACATTGTCTGGCTTTCATATGTATATGAGGCAATTGAAAACACTATGGCTTGGATCAGGCACACCTTAGTCCTTAAAGTGACATCTTTGCTTTTTTCCACTTTAAAGTGGTCTTTTGAAGCAGATTGGCCCAATGCAATGCGTCATTTGGTTTCCGGACTGCTGCTTCCGTGGGCGTTGATTGTATATCCAAGTAAAATGACATCCTTGACAACTTCAAATCTTTTCTCCATTTATCATGTTGTTGCTTATTGGTCCAGTTGTGAGGATTTTTGTTTTCTTTATGTTGAAGTGTCATCCATTTTGAAGGCTGTAATCTTGACTTCATCAGTAAGGGTTTCAATATCTTCATGGTATGTAAGAGACAAGGAAAGAGGGAAAGGCCTGCTTGGAAAGATTGCCTTCCCCATTTTTATTATAAATCTTTATATTATAAATCTACTTCCTATTTAATTTCTGTTGTTGCTATTTGAATTTCCATGTCCAGTGAATGAAGAACTTGACTGTAAGCCCAGATGAGAATGGTTTCTAAGTACTTAATTTAGTAGTTAAGTACTGCAGGTAGGTACAGTGAAACCTGTGAGAGCCGGAATTCGACAGGACTGACTTGTATTTCCAGGTCTTGCAAGTTTTCCACCTTTGACAAGGTATAGTCACTCTTTTCTATGGCTCTCTATTTAGTGGAAAATATTCGAGTTTTCTTTCTCTCACAGGTTTCCACTTTACAAAGATTCCAGCTTTTGTGGGTTTTATTGTATATGGTTAAGTAAATTTAAATAAGTGTCTATATTGTTGGACTTCTTAGAACCTTATTAATCTATCAGAGGGGAGTATAGCAATTCACTGTGCCCTGGTGGCTCAGTGGTTAAGCACTCAGCTACTAACCAAAAGGTTGGCAGTTAGCCACTCCATAGAAAGATGTGGCAGCCTACTTCCATAAAGATTTACAGCCTAGGAAACCCTATGGAGCAGTTATATTCTGTCCTATAGCATTGCTATGAGTTGGAATCGACTCAACAGCAACAAGTTTGGGTTTTTTGGTAACCACAGAATGAAAACAAAATTATAGTTCTGAATATTAAAAGCAAAAACAAAATCATAAAACAATGCAAAACATACATACACAAACACAGAGACACACGCATATGCACACACATTCACACAAAGGAGTCACAAATGGGCAAGATAATAGATTTTGAAGTCAGAGCCAGGTGATCAAATATAAGAATAACAGGAGTGATATGATAAAAGGAGAAAAAGTACATGAAGGAAAAGATAAATTTTTTTTTAAAAAAATAGTAGTAGTGAAAAATACTTAAATCTTCAGATTAAAAAGGATCATGAATTTCCAGGAAGGATTAACAAAAAAAAAAAAGACACATACTTAGGCATTATCTAGTGAATTCCCTGAAATCAAAGACAAATGAAAAAATTTACAAGCTTCCAGACAGAAAGAATAAGAATCACACTGACATGGAACATCTCAACTGCAACACCATTAACTAGAAAAGAGCAAAACAACATCTTCAAATTACTGAGATTAAAGGAGTATAATCTAAAAGTATTTATCTAGTCCAGTATATATCATTCAGGCATTCAAGTATACTTAGGTGGTATCTTATTTGTGAAAAACCACCAATAAAATGCTGTATTAAGAGACATTTCATAGATGGAGAGGTGGAGCCAACATGATGCTATAGACAGAAGCACCACGCCGTCCCTCCAGAACAAAGATCTGAAAAACTAACTAAAATAGAGACAAACGTCAATCCTGGTACACTAAGCATCAAATGAAGAGATAAAGAACTCAACCAAGAACTGAATGGACTAAGAAACTGACAGAGAACAGAGAGCGAGGAGAGATATGGAGCGGAGGTCCCTCATCAGCTAATGAAGCACAGATTCACCATCTTGGATTCCTGTCAGAGATCAGTGGACAGGGACTGGGGGGAAAGCAGCTTCACGGAGTTCCCAGCAGGAGACAGAACAACAGGTAACCAGTGATATATGCTTTCACACCCCTCATCCTTTTCCCCCCTACTCAACCTCTGCCCCTTCCTAGCTGGCTGCAGTTGCTTGCCCAGACAGAAAGTGCAAGGTCCATGCCACTTGGATTCACCCCACTCACACTGGCCGGCTCCATCAGTGCCATTTGTTTGTTGCTAGTGTTGCTTTTTTCCAATTCTTTTGGTTTCTTTCCTGCCTCTCACCACCTCCCTCTCCTTTCTCTCAAACATCTGGCTCTGTGTGCCACCTTTGCTTCTTCTTGAAAGGCTGTGAAGTTCCACTTGGCTAGGGAACTGCTTCTCTGGCTTACGCCACCACGCTGGTGGGATCTCTGGGGCCTTTTTTCTTTTTGTTTGTTGTTCTTTTTGTTTGTTTTGTTTCTTTTTGTTTTGTTTTGTTTGTTTGTTTTGTCTTGTTTGCTTTTATTCCCCCCCCCCCCCAAGGCTTGGGAGCCACTTCTAGCTGGGCTGTACTGCCTGGCTTGGGCGCCACTTCCCCGGTCTGTGTAGCCACGTCAGGGGGATTCCTGGGGGCATTTCTTTTTTTTTTTCCTCTCTTTCTTTCTGTCTAGGTTATCTAAGGCTGCTATAACAGAAATACCACAAGTGGATGGCTTTAACAACAGAATTTTCTCACAGTCTAGTAGGCTACAAGTCCGAATTCAGGGTGTCAGCTCCAGGGGAAGACTTTCTCTCTCTGTTGGCTCTGGAGGAAAGTTCTTGTCATCAATCTTCCCCTGGACTAGGAGCTTCGTGGCACAGGAACCCTGGGTCCAAAGGACACGCTCTGCTCCCGGTGCTTCTTTCTTGGTGGTATGAGACCCCCAACTCTCTGCTTGCTTCCCTTTCCTTTTATCTCTTGAGGCTCCCTGGGGGCTTTGCTTTTTTTTTTTCTATTTTGTTTTTCTCCATTTCCTGGTCTCTCATCATTCCACTCCAATGGCAAGCTCCCTTAGCACTTTTTTTTGTTTCTTGCGTGTTTGTGTGTGTGTGTGTGTGTTTTGTTTGTTTATGGCTCCTGTTTCTCTGCTCTCTCTCTTCTTTCCCATACTCATCTTAGCTCCACACATCACGACCTTTCCACACCTTCCTGCCTATTAGCACCATGCGTTGAACATCACACCTCCGAGATGCATAGGCACGGCTTACCGGAACCTGCCCTGCACTGATTCCCAGCCCACCTTATGGGACCTAGTACATGCCACAATACTTTTGCCCCTCCACTTCATCTAGACCTGCCCTGCTGTGCTATAGCTGAGCACAACTGGCCCTGTCCATTGGACAAGGAGGTGAAAAGTATTGTGCCTACAGATGAGCAAACAACAAAGAATGCACAGCCTGCCTGCTCAGATATAACCAAATAAGACAAAAAAGCAGGATGAAACAAACAAATCTACAGTCAATAAATGAGGAACATAACTACTGAATGTCCTGAAGACAGCAGACAATATCAAAACATATAAAAAAAAACAGGACAGGATGGTTCTAGTAGGCATCCAAAATAAAACACCAAATGACTTTCCAGTAGAAAAAAAGGCACTAGAACTACCTGATAGGGAATTCAAATCTCTAATATCCAGAGCTATCCAAGAGTTGAAGCAAAAAGCAGACAAAAATGAGGAAAAAATAGACAGAGTCACAGAAAAGACAGACAAATTCATGGAAAATACAGACAAAGAAATGGAAGAATTCATGGAAATAATACAGGAACAAAATGCCAAAATAAATTCAAAATGAGAATTCATACAAAAACAACAATTAGAAATCCAAAAGATAAAAAACAAGATTTCCGAAATGGACAGTGTCATATAAGGGCTGAGGAACAGGTTTGAAACCATGGAAGAGAGGATCAGGGAAATTGAAGACAAACACTTGGCTACAACTTTGAGGAAAACTCAGAAAAAAGAACAAAGAAAAATGAAGAAACCCTGAGAATTGTGTGGGATACAATCAAAAGCAAAAACTTGCAAGTGATCAGAGTTCCAGAACACGGGGAGAAAACGGAAAACACAGAGAGGATCATTAAACAATTGCTAACAGAAAACTTCCGTAATATCCTGAAAGATGAGAAGCTGACCATCCAAGAAGCTCAATGAACTCCATATAGGATAGATCCCAAAAGAAACACACTCCCTAAAACCAAAGACAAAGAAAGAATACTGAGAGCTGCTTGAGAAAAACAAAAAGTCACATACACAGGGGAAACAATAAGACTAACCTCTGATTATTTGGCAGAAACCTTGCAGGCAAGAAGCCAATGGGATGACATATATAAAACCTTGAAAGACAAAAATTCCTAACCAAGAATAATATATCCTGCAAAACTCTTGTTCAAATATGATGGGGAAATCAGGACATTTCCAGATAAACAGAAATTAAGGGA